CTCTTCTCCCTAAGTCCTTTGCATAGTTTATTCAGAGCAATGCCCTTTTTGTATGAACACAAGAAGACATGCTTTTGTAATGTTTATTTTATTTTGTAATGTTTATTTATCAGTGATATTCCCCATCTGTTCTCTCACCTAAACCTCAGCTGCCCTTTCTTCCTACCGCCCCCAAAAGGAGGGTCCTGATGAGGGACCAGGATGGAACCAGGGTAAGCGGTAAGCTGTGTGCTACCCTGGCATTGAGATGGGTCTGGCCAAAGCACCATAATGCTTAACTATACGTTAAGAGCTTGGTCATGGACAAATGCTGTCATGATCCAAAAAGTAATAACTAGATTTGGACCCTGCTAGGGTTAGGAATGATTAATCTGGCCTGAGCGCTGTAGTCTGTCTGAGTCTGTGGCAAGATGTTCCTAGGAGAGTTGCCCTACAAGCCTCAATGTTATCTCTTACTGTGTCCATACAAAAAATAGCTAGTATTGATATGTTGATAGTTATTGGACTGAGGAAAAGAGAAAAACACTTTAAGAGGTATTTTGCCCTTGGGGAGTCAGGGAGGGCTTTCTTATGTTGATTTGGCTACCTGACTGGGGGCAGTGTCAGTCTGGAGAGATAAGGGAGTTGGAGACAAGAGAACTGGAGAGAGGAGAGAGCAGGGCGGCAAGATGGGCATGGAGAGGCTAGCAAGGGGGACAGAGAGAGAGAAGAATGTAGAAGAATACAGGAGCAGGCATGTGGAGAGAGAAAGAGCCCAAGCTGTGAGATGGAGCATGGAGTGATGAGTGGGAGAGACAGAAGGAGACGGGAATGAGGAGCAGTGTGAGATCAGAATAGGAGGCTCAGAGAAACTGGGGCAAGCATGTGGGGAGAATGGAATAAACGGCAACTGATCAATCAACCAGCTTGGCCCTCACTTCCTCTGCCATCTGCCTCAGGCCGCCCTGGCTGTGGGAGTGGCCCAGGCCCAACCCAAACGCGGGCAGCTAGGGGGAGAGCCGTTGGGGCCTCCCTGGTCGCCTTCAAAGAATTTTTATAATACATCAATAAAAGGAAAGATAAAAACCATATGATCTTCTATGAAAATATTAATAGATGCAGAAAAGGCCTTTGACAAGATCCAGTACCCATTTATGATAAAAATTCTCAGCAAAATGGGCATTGAAGGAACTTTCCTCAGTATAGTCAAAGCCATCTACCACAAGCCCACAGCAAGCATTACTCTCAACAGAGAAAAACTAAGAGCCTTCCCACTAAGATTGGTAACACGAAAAGGTTGCCCACTCTCACCACTTCTATTCAATGTAGTACTGGAAGTACTTGCCATAGCAGTTAGGTAAGAAAAGGATATCAAGGACATCCAGATAGGAAAGGAAGAAATCAAGCTATCACTATTAGCAGATGACATGATACTATACTTAGAGAACCCTAAAGGTTCTACAGAAAAGCTCCTAGAAACAATAGGTTTATATAGTAGAGTGGCAGGTTACAAAATCAACACCCAAAAGTCCATGGCCTTCCTATATACAAAAAATGCAAATGAAAAAAGGGACAGTAAAAAAAATCCTGGGGCCGGAGTGATAGCACAGGGCATTTGCCTTGCACGTGGCCCACCCAGGTTCGATCTCCGGCATCCCATATGGTCTCCCAAGCACCTTCAGGGGTAATTCCTGAGTGCAGAGCCAGGAGTGACCCGGGAGCATTGCTGGATGTTACCAAAAAACCAAAAAAAAAAATAAATAAATAAAAAAAGGAAAATCCTGCTCACAATAGTTCCTTAGAAAATCAAATGCCTTGGAATCAACTTAACTAAAGAGGTGAAGGACCTATACAAAGAACTACTTCAAGAAATAAAAGAGGACACTAGGAAATGGAGACACATCCTTCACTCATGGATCGGGAGGATTAATATAGTCAAAAATTACAATATTCCCCAAAGCATTATACAGATTCAATGCAGCCCCTATAAGGATACTGATGACATTTTTCAAAGAAATAGACAAAATACTCCTGAAATTCATATGTAGTAATAAACTACCACAAATAGCCAAATTAATCCTTGGGAAAAGAAGATGGGTGGTATCATCTTCCCCAACCTCAAACTGTACTACAAAGGAATAGTGATTAAAACAGCATGGTATTGGAATAGAAACAGACCTGCAGACCAAAGGAACAGAGTTGAATATTCTGATACAGCCTCTCAAATATACGGTCACTTAATCAAATGATAAAGGAGCAAGAAATGTGAAGTGGAGCAAGGAAAGTCTCCAACAAGTGGTGCTGGGAAAACAAAACTGAACAGCTACATGCAAAAGAATGAACTCTGACCTCTGTTTAACACCAAGCACAAAAGTCAGATCAAAGTGGATTAAAGACCTCAATATCAGACCTTCATCCATAAGGTACATGGAGGAAAATGTAGGCAGACTTCCATGATATTGAAGTTAAAGGCATCTTCAAGGATGAAATACCACTGACCAAGCAAGTGGAAACAAACATAAACAAATGGAACTACACTAAACTAAGAAGCTTCTGCACCTCAAAAAAATGACTAAAATACAGAAAGAGCCCATGGAATGGGAAAAAATATTTACCCAATACTCATCCGATGGGGGCTTAATATCCAGCATATACAAGACATTGGTAGAACTTCACAAGAAAATAAACTTCCAACCCCATCAAAAAATGGGGAGAAGAAAAATAAACAGAAACTTCCTCAAAAAAGTAATTCAAATTGCCAAAAGGCATATGAAATAAAAGAAAGATCTACATTGCTAATCAACAGGGAGATGCATATCAAAACAACAATGTGGTATCATTTTACCCCACAGAGACTGGCACAATAAGAACAAAAACAACCAATGCTGGCCCAGACTTTGAGAGAAAGGGACTCTCATCCATTGTCGGTGGGGATGCGGATTGGTTCATCCTTTTCAGAAAACAATATGGACATTCTTCCAACTAGAAATTGAGCTCCCATGTGACCCAGCAACACCACTTCTGGGAATATATCCCAGAGATGAAAAAAAAAAAAGGTAGAAATGACATATGCACTTGTATGTTTATTGCAGCAATGTTCACAATAGCCAGAATCTGGAAAAAAAACCCGAGTGCCCAAGAACATATGACTGGTTAAAGAAACTTGAGTATGTCTACACAATGGAATACTATGCAGCTGTTAGAAGAAATGATCACTGATCACTGTCCTCCCATTGTTCATTGATTTGTTCGAGTGGGCCCAGTAACGTCTCCATTGGAGACTTTGTTGTTACTGTGTTTGGCATATCGAATACACTACAGGTAGCTTGTCAGCCTCTACTCTCGGTAGCTTGCCGGGCTCTCTGAGAGAGGCAGAGGAATTGAACTCGGGTTGGCCATGTTGGATGCGTGCAAGGCAAACACCCTACCGCTGTGCTATCGCTCCAGCCCAAGAAGAGAAGAGATGAAATCATGAAATTTGCATATAAGTGGATGGATATGGAGAGTATCATTCTAAATGAAATGAGTCACAAAGAGAGGGATAGACATAGAATGACTGCACTCATCTGTGGAATATAAGTAGCAGAATATGAAACTAACACCTAAAGACAGTAGAGATAAGGGCCAGGAGGATCAACTATGATTTGGAAGCCAGGCTCATATGCTGGGGGAAAACGCAGTTGGGATGGAGAAGGGACCACTAAGTAAATAATGGTTGGAGGGATTGTTCGGGATGGGAGATGTGTGCTGAAATTAAACTAAGGACCAAACACGATGACCTCTTAATATCTGTATTGCAAATCATAACACCCCAAATGAGAGAGAGAATAAGAAAGAATGTACCTGCCACAGAGGCATGGGGTGGTGTGGGGGGTGGCGGGAGGGACAATAGGAATAATGGTGGTGGAGAATGTGCACCGGTGGAAGAATGTGTGCTCGATCATTTTATGACTGAAATGTAATCATGAAAGTTTGTAACTCTAATAAAAAAAATTTTAAAAAATATGAAATGATAAATAACCATTTTACTCAAATGAATTAAATTCAACTTTACATTTTCTGTTTTACAACAAAATGTACATGTGTATCCCAAATGAGCCAACCTCTTAATATATCTTGTGATTTAAATCTAAATCTTAGTTAATAAGATGCATCAGTCATTTTGTTTACATATTGGTGATTCTATTAGAAAAATAACCACTGTTTAAAGCACAGAGAACTGTTATGAATTTGTTATGCGTTTGGGTATAAGCTTTATGTACATAAGCACATTTACAGGAAAAAGTGAAAAGGAGGGAAAGAATATAAACTGGCTACTGGAGACTATGTAGAACAGTGAATGGGCAAAAGAAGAAAAAGAGGCTCCTTTTTTAATTTACAACTGAAAATTGCCATTTTCAATAAGTATTGAGATCAGCTAAGAGTTCTGAAGTAGATTTAAATAAATAATTAGGCAGAATGTTACTACATAATTCAAAGACTTGAGGCACATTAATATTATCACTGATTTTAGAATATTAGAATGTTCCTATTTTCAGTCTACAATTAAAATCATTTAATATGAAAATTTATTTATAGGATACATATTTTAATACCTAGAATCATATTTCAATATTTAACATTAGGACCGCCAATCCCAACGTCAGTGTTAAGATATTCATAAATGCCATGACAAGACACACTAAACAGTGACAGATTAGTAAGGGTCATAGGCTGGAGTGATAGCTAAGCAGGTAGGGCATTTGCCTTGAACACGGCCAACCTGAGTTCTATTCCTACACCCCACTCGGGGAGCCTGGCAAGCTACTGAGAATATCTCGCCTGCACTGCAAAGCCTGGCAAGCTACCCGTGACGTATTCAATATGCCAAACACAGTAACAGGAAGTCTCACAATGGAGACATTACTGGGCCCACTCGAGCAAATTGACAAACGAGAGGACAGTGCTATAGTGCTATAGTTCATTTAACAAGTCATATTTGTTATTTCCTACTTTTAGTTTCGTTATCTGAAAACTCTTACCTTGTATATACTAACAAAGGAACCAAGGAAAGCTCCAAGCTGGAAGTTTTCTTTATTGTAGAAGAGAGAGAAGAGTCGCGATGGCTTTGTAAATAGATGTCTAAATGCAGAGGGGATCCGGAGGCAGCACTGGATCAAATAGCCCACACTAAACATCCTGATGAAACCCTAGAGAAAATGTGAGAGGAAATATGATTTGCAAGTCAATATTGATTTCATAGATCTGATTTTACTATCTTAGAATAGAAAAAGGTTTTTAAACACAATCATAATAATTTGCAAAACTAAGTCTCAAAACCTGAAACATAATTGTTTTTTTTTTTTTTTTTTGCTTTTTGGGTCACACCCAGCGACACACAGGGGTTACTCCTGCTCTGCACTCAGGAATCACCCCTGGCGGTGCTCAGGAGACCATATGGGATGCTGGGAATCAAACCCGGGTTGGCCACGTGCAAGGCAAACGCCCTACCTGCTGTGCTATTGCTCCAGCCACTCAAAACATAATTTTAAGCACTCAGAAAAGGTGACAAAATCTTGGAGTGAATATACTTTCTTTAATTTTATAATCATGTTTCGGCACCAAAATTCCTTTTCTTGTATTTTGTTGACAAAAAACAGCATCTAGAATTGCTAAGCCACACGCAAGTTGCAGAAAATAAAAGCAATAAAATACAAAGGTACAATTAATACAAACAAATGCTTTAGTAATTTTTAATAGAACATTCTTAATCATCAGAACTGGTGGGATTTCTTTTTCCCCAAACATCACTCCCTGCCTTCCTTTGACAGAAGAGTAATTTTATTATTTGTTTAGAATTCTGTATCAACTTGTTAAATTTTTGCCATGCTAGGAATCAAATCACAGATCTACTACTAAGCTACATCCTAGGTTTCAAGTTTTAAATTAACTTTTAAAATACATGAGTCATTGGAATTTCTTTTGGGAGTGGAGTGATAGCATAGCGGGGAGGGCATTTGCTTTGCACACAGTTAACCAGGGTTCGATCCCCAGCATCCCATATGGTATCCCAAGCACCATCAAGAGTAACTCCTGAGTGCAGAGCCAGGAGCAACCTCTGAGCATTGCTGGGTATCCAACAACAAAAACTAAAACACAGATCTGTATGTCTGTGTTCAGGCTGAAGCATTGCTAAACAAATGTTGGCTTTAAGAAACCCTAAATAAAGTTTGAAAAAAGCAAATCTGTTCTAAATCCGTATTTGCCACCAATGTTTGCTTCCTTCAACCATTTGTAAATGCACCAGAGAATGGAGAGGATGATCAATGTTGGCCAATTTCCTCCAGTATTTTTTAAAGTGAATGTTAAATGCCACTTAATATGCAAAACTTTCAATTAGTAAAAATAAAAAAGAGCACTATTTAGAAATCATTTCAATTAATACTTGATTCTACCCCTACAGGGAATGCAAAATGACTACATAGCAATGCTCATCTGCTACATGTAAAGATGAGATTTATCAACCAGTGCTCTCTTTTATAGAAAAGTTTAATTACTATGAATAAACATTCATCAACTTATCTGAAACTACCAAATGCTGGTCAGGTTAAATACAGAAATTAAATTAGCCAGTTCACACTTCTTTTTGGGGGAGCTCTGGGCTGGTGGAGCTCAGGCTTACTCTTAACTCTGCACTCAGGGATGATCCTGGCTGGACTCAGGGTCCAGATGGGATGTCAGGATCAAACCCACATCAGTCACCTGCAAAGCAAATGCCCAACCCACTGTATATTCTCTCTGGCCCCAGAGATGATCACAATTTTATTTCACTTGATACTCTCAAAATGTTAATGTAAGAACTCACAGTTCCCACCGCCATATGACCTAACAGTCCCACTTTGGGGCAGCTACCCTGAGCACAAAATAAACCCTCTCAAAAGGACATATACACCATTATTCATTGCTGTACTCAGTACAATAGCTAAGATATGGAATCAACCTAGGTGTCCAAGGACAGATGAATAAATTATGAAGTACATAAATACAATGGAATACAACACAGCAGCAAGGAATGATGAAATCATGCAATTTGATTGGAATATGGATGGAACTGGAGTGAACCAGATGGAACCAGTGGTTGGAACACGTCGAGTGAAGAAGAACAATTTACATAATTTTGAGGGATCCATTTCTCCCTCCATTCAGTTGCCCTTTCCTGAAATTAGGAAACAGTCATTCAAACTCTCTCACGCATCCCCCGATGCTGGGAAGTCAACAGAGCAGAGCAAACAAGGTTCTTCCCTTCATAGAGCTCACATGCTCACTGGAGCAGGGAGGAGCAACAGGCCCAGAGAACAGTGGAGGGCCTTCGGAGCGCCTCCTTGCAAGCACAAGGTCACACCAGTTAGAATGTCTGGTGTCATATGTGAGCTGAACATGGCAGTGATGTCTCGATCCCTGGCACAGGCAACATCCAGCTGCTCTTCGTCAGGCATATGTGGGCACCAAAAAAATGGGCAGGACCCCGAGGCCAGCAAAGTCACAGCCTGTGTGTTCCAACTACTGTCACCGTGCTGGGTACACGTGCAAGGATCGCAGCCTGTGTGTTCCAACACTGTCGCCCTGCTGAATACACATGCAAGGACTGCCACACGACCTGCCACTCAAGCACCCAGAGCATCACATCTGTCACGGGTGACACCACGATCAAGTCTAGCAACACAATAGCAACAACAAGGAAAGAGGGGAGAAAATAAAAATAAGAGAATAAATTTTTTAGAAGGAATCACTTAATCACTTAACTTCTCGTTAGTCATCGATTTGCTCAAGCAGGCGCCAGTAACGTCTCCATTTGTCCCTGTTGCGTGCTAGTGTAGCCCAATGGTATCTGTTCGCTCAGGGAACATGAAGAGCCTCAAACCGATCGTTCATGATCTTGACGAAGAAGTCTGACCATCTGGTAGGTGGGCGGCCACGCGGTCTTTTGACATCCCGTGGAATCCAGTCAGTAACAGCTCTAGTCCAGCGGTCGTCTTTAAATCTCATTACATGACCAGCCCATCTGATTTTCGACACCTTGGCAAATGAGACAGCGTCCCTGATCCTTGATCGTCGACGGATGTCAGAACTCCGGATTCTTTCTCTCATTTGAGTGAAACGTGATATTCCAAGCATAGCTCTTTCTATTCTTCTTTGGGAGACCTGAATAGCGTTCTCATCTTGTCTGCGTAGGGCCCAGGTCTCTGAGGCATATGTTAATGCAGGAAGAATAGTGGAATCAAAGAGATGTGCCCGGAGCCGGAGGTTCTTCGTCCTCTTAGCTATTTCTTCGACGTTCTTGAAGGCGTTCCAAGCCGCTCTCTTCCTCCTGCGCAGCTCGGGTGCCAGGTCATTTGTCATGTTGACCTCTCGACACAGCTGTTGCATTCGGAGATGGTTGTTCCATTGAGAGCGAATGGGGCGTCAGGAACGAGGCTGTTTCTCATAAACATTGTCTTCGTAAGATTCAGCTGTAGTCCTACCTTTCCACACTCACGGTCAAAGTCGGCCAGCATTTGTGCCGCTTGGCTGATGTTTGGTGTTATTAAAACAATGTCATCAGCAAAGCGGAGGTGGTGTAGTTGCCGACCATCTATCTTCACTCCCATTCCTTCCCATTCCAGTTATCGCATGATGTTCTCGAGGGTGGCACTGAAGACTTTTGGTGAAATGGTATCACCCTGCCGCACCCCTCTCTTGACATCAACGATCACTTCTTTGTAGAATGGTGAGATCCTGGTAGTGAATCCGCAATACAGCTCACGGAGGATCCTGATGTATTGGGCTTGAATGCCCTGATTGGCTAGGGCTTCAATGACCGCTTCCGTCTCAACAGAATCAAAGGCCTTCTTTAAATCAATGAACGTTAAACAGAGCGGCATCTTGAACTCCCGAGAAACCTCAATGAGCTTGGTTATCGTGTGGATATAGTCGATGGTGCTGAATCCTTTGCGGAATCCGGCTTGCCCGCATGGTTGTCCTTCATCTAGTGTTCTGCCAATCCTATTTAGGATGACTCGAGTGAACAACTTGTAGATGACAGACAATAGGCAGATCGGGCGATAGTTGCCAATGTCATGGATGTCTCCCTTCTTGAACAGTAGTACAGTCCTGCTGGTTTTCCATTGGGACGGAACCTTGCATTCAGACAGGTAGCGAGTGAAGAGCCGAGCCAGTGTATTGATGAATACTGACGGCAGGTTCTTCAGGTATTCAGGTCTGACCCTGTCTGGGCCGGGTGCTGTTTGTTTCTTTACCGACGAAATGGCGTGTCGGATTTCGGAAGGGAGAACGTTGGGAACGACATATCCATCCTGTGGAATTTGGTATGTTGGCAAGTGGACATGGCTATCAAAGAGATTTGAGTAGAAGTCATGGATAATCTTCTCAATTGCCGTTCTGGAGGATGTGATGGATCCATCAGGACGTCGGAGGGCAGTCATCTTGGTCTTGTAGTTGGCGAAGGACAGGCGGGCCTTACGAATACTTTTCCCAGCTTCTGCCGCATCTACCAGTACTTCTGCTCTTTTCTCTTTGAGGTTTTCCTTGATCGCATCTCTGCACTGCTTTGTGAACTCGGACGTTAGCTTGCGGTTACCTGAGGCATGCGCCAAACCACGCTGGCGAATTAGCTCAAGAGCTTTCGAGGACAGGTGATTTTTTGTGGCTATCTCTCTCTTGGCGTTCCTCGCACATTCATGGAGGTGCTGAACCAGTCGATCATATTCCTCGTCAATGCTGTCAACAATGGCATCTTCCCATGTTGCCGCAATAGTGCCAAAGAGTTCCCAGTTGGTGGTCGTTCTGGAAGTTCTCTTTTTGAACTTTGCAGCCCTTTCTCCCCGCTCTGTGATGTAGAATTTTGCACGAAGGAGACAGTGGTCCAATCCCGTTTGAAATTTTGGGACAACAGTGACATCGGTCAGGCAAAACCGTCGATTGAATATGATGTGGTCTATTTCGTTGTGGAAATGTCCACCGGGAGACTCCCATGTCCATCGTTTAGATTCTGCCTTCTGGAACTGTGAGTTGCCATGAATGGTCTTGGTCGACATGATGAACTCAGACAGTCTCTCACCCTGTTCGTTCCATTCTAGGCCATGGGTCCCGATGTGAAGTTCTTCAGCTGATCTTCTCGGTCCTATCTTGGCATTAAAATCACCCACAATGATCTTGTAACTACAACTGGTCTCATTCACCTGACCCTGAAGGCTTCACCGACATGGCAGCACTGAGAAGGATGGAAAGGAGAGGCCGACAAAATCTCAAGGCCGACCTAGGCTGCCACAACAAAGGAAGACAAAAATGATCGTCTGTACTTTCAATGCACGTACGCTAGCATCAGATGCATCCATCGAGGACCTGATGGTACAAGCGCGAATGATCAAGTACGACATCATTGGTCTGACCGAGACAAGAAGGCATGAATCTCACCATGCCGTTTTCGACACTGGAGAAGAATTGTTCCTCAGAACATGCGATAAAAGAGGTGTTGGAGGCGTCGGTGTCCTTGTCAACACAAACTTGGCCAAGAGCATTGATTCATTCGAATGCCTAACAACCCGAATCGGATGTTTACATTTGAATAGATGTGGCTCACTGCCTGCAGTTTCTATCTTCGTTGTCTACGCACCAACATCTCATTATGATGAAAGAGAAATCGAGAAGTTCTACATGGAGCTGGAGAAGTTCTATAAAGAAGACCACACCTTCTACAAGATCATTGTGGGTGATTTTTAGAAGGAAAGAAGTAAAAAATACATAGAAAATCATAGATTATAATGAGTGTAATGAAAATAAGGCACTGGAAAAGAAATCAAGAGTCTAACGTAGATTTAATGATAAATCTAGTGATGACTTAGTGGTAAACTATTAAAATTCAGAAGTTAGTATGAGGAACACACGTCCAAGCTGGGACAGAAAGTGTAAAGCCGAAGACAGATGGGAGGCTCTGAGGAATCCAGGTAGAGGAGCTGGTGTTTAGAGGGAACTGTGACTCTATGAACAGGACCTGATTAAACTCAAAGACATGATTTCACATGAGCCAGTGCAATGATGAGGTGTCAATATTTTTTTCAATACTCGTGCAAATTTCTCTTCCATGGCTCTCTATGGAAATGTTCTCCAGTTTACATATAAATTTGCGTTTTATAATACTGGTGCACATCTGAAAGAATGAAAAGATTTTCTTCATTGCTTGGAAATTCTCCCCATCTACTATCACGCGCACCCTGCTAGATGTTGCCAATGCTTCCAGAAGTGTCCTATCACAGTGGAGCCTGAGGGTTACCTGTGTAAACCCTGGAGGCTGGGCCACTCTCAGGAACCAGAAGACTCTGAGGATGGTAGCGACCCATACAGCTGAAATGTGGAGATCAAGGAACAGAAACCACTGTACAACTGGCAACCTCTTCTTTTGGTCTTAGCCCCGGTGTCTCTGTGGGCTCTGGAGGGAACCCCATCAACCCAGGGCTACGCCTCCACTCACAGCTCTAGTTCCAGTGTGGGAGAAACCCTCCTTTCCAGAGAAAATGCCTTGGATGATGGACATAACCCAACTCTTACCATCGGCCAAGTGGAGCTCAAGTATTTGAGGAAAGAACATAAGTTGTTAAGAGCACCAGAATGGTTAGAGTACCATCTAAAACATAATTTCTAGAAGGTGGTTCCACCCCCCCCCCCCACCATCTGATGTGTGATGTTGACAGCAATGGAAACAAATTGGTTCTGAGAGTGGGGAGGGTGGAGGGTGGGGGTGGGCACTGGGAACTGTGGGGAGTGGAGGGGGAGAGAGGGGTGGTCGTTTTTTTGGGTCTCACCCAGCGATGCTGGGGGAGGGGGTGTTGCTCCTGGCTCATGCACTCAGGAATTACTCCTGGCGATGGTGATGCTCGGGAGACCATATGTGATGTCAGGGATCAAACTGGGATGGCCCATGCAAGGCAAACGCCCTCCCTGCTGTGCTATCCCTACAGCCCCCAGGGGGATTGTCTTTGCTGGTGAGCAAATTCAGCTACCTCAATGTCTTAACAAGTCAACAGCTTTCCAGGCCCAAAACCATGCCCCAAACAGGGGGTATGGTGCCGCCAGCAGGTCAATCTGTGAGTGCATCAGCAACCTGATGGCACTGTCAGGCTTTCAGATATCCCAAAATTGCTGCTGTGCCTTTGGCCAGACCCCAAAAACTTGGGGCAAAGTTTACCAAGAAAGTAAACGGCCAAAAGTTAGGTATGTGGGAAACACACCCACAAACCACCTCTGGCTCAGCTATATAATTGGAGGCATAGCCTCTCTGGTTCCTGATCGATCATGCTTGGCCATGATCCCAGAGACTCAGAAATGAATCTTGGAACCCAAAGGTCTTTGGCAGAAATGCGTCCTGTTCCTGCAGTAGGTTACTGGGGCTGGGCCACTCCAGGTGGGAATAGGTTTCATGCCTTGGCCTGTTCTGCATGGTGGCTCAGTGACCGCCATCCTCCAGAGGCCACTAGACAGTCAGGTTTGGGCCTGCAGTCACGAGACATGCGGGGCCTCACCAGATGGGGGTGGAACCGGCCCTTTCCTCCCCATCCCAATGAGACCCCAAATCGCCGCCTACAAAAAGCCTCTCTGGCTCCTGATCAAGCTGATTAAGGGCCATGATCCCAGAGACTCAGAAACAAATCTCAAAACCCAGCAGCTTTTGGCAGAAATGCATCTGGACTGCATACAAGGTGGCCACCGCCTCAGAGCTCATTGGAAAGCCAGGTATGAGTCGGCAGTGATGGGGCAACTGCAGTTTCATGGGAAGGGGGGCTCATACCAGCTCGTTCTTCAGACCTACAGAGGTCATGAGTTGCCCCCCACGAGCGGCTCTCTGGCACGGCCATGACTCCAGAGGCTAAAGGACTTAATCCAGAGCCCAGGAGCTTGTGGCAGAATAGTGAATGGACCATGCGTTAAACTACAGCACCATGCCTCCCTGGGAGGGTGTTGCTCCCTTCCACCATCCCTCCGGCCCCCCAGCAAGGTGGCCGCTGCCTCAGAGCTTATTGGAAAGCCAGGTATGAGCCAGCGGTGACGGGACAACTGCAGTCTCATGGGAAGGGGGGCAGTACCGGCTCGTCCTTCATGCCCTACCAAGGTCACATGTTGCCTCCCCCCCACCCCAAGCGGCTCTCCGGCAGAGCCATAACACCAGACGCACAGAAACCAATCTCGTAATTATCTGGCTCTTTGCAGAAATCCAAAATCACGGCTGCGTGACATTATATGATTCTCATAATCAGCTACAGAAAACAAAGTATTTCACAATGCCTTTTCAGCAATTCTGATTGTGTGTGTGTGGGGGGGGGGGATTCTAAACAATAATGGTGCATCTTTTGTCAAAATAATGAATGTAATCAATATAGAGAAGAGTTAAGTGGAAATCATCTGCCTCACAGGCATTAGGAGGGGTGGGAGGGGGTATATTGGGGTTCCTGTTAGTGAAAAATGAGTACTGGTGAAGGAGAGGTGTTTGATCATTGTATGACCGAGACTTAAACCTGAAAGCTTAATAACTTTTCCCACAGTGATTCAATAAATAAATATAAGAAGACAAATAAATAAATAAAACTATGAAAAAAAAAAGTAAGGTGGAGTTCATGCTCAATTCAGCTAATCAGTGTCTGTATAAATAGCAATACTCCTACACAAACAAACAAACAAACAAAAACAGCTGAACAGAGGTGCGTGGCCTGTATGCGTGACCCCTGGCCCACTGCACCCCACACAGTCCCACTCCTTGTTCTAGGAGGTACTGCAATGAGAATATGTAACAAAGGAGACATCTTAGGAACTTTTTTCTTTTTGTTATTGTTAATTTACCTTCCTTCCTACTTCATAAATCTTAAATGATCAAAAAATTTTAAATAAGACAATTTTAAATCGTTTAAGGAAATACTAAGTGAAAATGGAAAGTTAAATTTCTCAGAGGTTTGGTGAGGTGTAGTGCTAAACCCAAGAACTTTGCCTGCCAGGCAAACATTCTAACACTTAATTACTGTCACTGTCACTGTCCTCCCATTGTTCATCGAATCCGGCGGGCCCAACACTTAATTACAATCCCAGCCTATTCATGGATTTCTTAGTCCTAAAGTCAAAATGCAAATAATGACCCTTTACTTTCAAGTCTTTCATTTACTTTGAAACACTCTCTTCATAAATTCTTTCTATGCTATTCCACAGTTAATAATATAGATATTTTTGTATACTTACTTTAATACAATAAGAGATACAGTTATCTTCATAATGTTTGCAACACCTATGCCTCGGTCCATGTTTACATCTGAAATTACATCAAAATTGAATTATAATCAAAATGTATGTCCTATGGCTCTATTTACAACTCTTTAAATGGCCAGAGGGACAGTGTAGTGTTAAAGCACATGCCTTGAATGTGGCCAACCCTAGTTTAATACCCAGCACTTCATATGGTCCCCTGAACAGGAGTGGTCCCTGCAGCCCTGAGCACAGAGTCAGAAATAGCCCTTGACCGTTACTGGGTATGACCCACAACTAAAATAAAAAACAAAAATAAATGCTTCAGCTAAGAAAGAAGAAAACATTACTCACTTAACTCTAAATGTGTGTCTTTGGTTTCTTAGGAAATAAAGAAGCATGTAACAAAGATAATAGCAGTGTCCTCCCATTGTTCATCAATTTGCTCAAGAGGACCTAATAATGTCTCCACTGTGAGACTTGTTACTGTGTTTGGCATATCGAATAATATATATATACACATATATATTATATGTGTATGTATATATATATTCTTCGCTGTTCAGTATTAACACATTGTGTAAAATATGTGATTGTAGTCAAAATATTTTAATGTGAAACAGATAAACCATATTGATAAATATTTGTGACTAAACACGAAACAATGCATATATTTTCTCTCTACTTTGCCAAATCTTTTGGAAGTTTTAAATTACTTAGAGTATATAATGGTCATAAATCACCCATGAAGTCAGTACTTGAGCAAAAGTTCTAATGAGAATGTGCTCATATTACAGGAATTTATACTTAATTATATTTGCTAGAAAACATCTGGAAAAGAAACCTGATATAGTATTAGAATTTAAAATACTGTTCGTTTTTAAAATAAAGAAATAAATAGGTCATAAAGGAATTCAAGGGCATGTTGTGATTTAAGAGAAAACCAGTCCTTTAGAGTTTAATAAAGATTTTTGCTGGGAGGACTACTGTTCAAAACTCAGTTATTTGGTAGGCTGATTCTAATATGATTCCCTTTAAGCATTAAAAAGTAAGCAAAATACTACCATGGGTTTAGTGCTTTCCCTTTCTCCATGAAGGGTGCACTTTCCAAAGTAAGTAGACTCTTTTAAATCTCTTCAGACTACAGTTAATTACCTTCATGGTTGAAACACATGAACTCTTTCCTGTTTATAAGAATTTAAAGAGTGATATTCTCACTCCGTATCCTAATTCCACTTGCAAATTGATTATAAAACCTTTTCCGTAATCTAATAATTCTGCCCTGCAGCTGGAGTCCAGCCTTTCCCGGTCACGGGTGACAGCAATGTTCATAGGAACCATGGCTCTTATGTCATTAGAATGACATGACACAACTGGTCATGTGAGGCTGCTGAGTGACTGCAGCTGGCACCTGAGAAGAGGTAACGGAGAAAGGGCTGCCTCGTGTAAACCATCACTCTTCATATTTCTAAGTGTCCTCTTCAAAGACATTTCCTAGCCACTGCTGCTTGCTCTACAGAGAAACTGTTACCCTCCCTCCCTGCTAGTGAAATTAAATTCAGAGAACAACACTGCCATTGAATCTTTCCTGTGTCTCATTCAAACAGCCTCCCTAGCCCCGTGCTCCCAAGGCAGCGAGATCCCCTGCCCTACTGCCCATTGGGGCGCCCTTCCCTTAGGGCTCTGAGCCAGGTGCTGTGATGGCCCCGTGAGCTCTGATGCCAAAGGCACCATCCCCATCACATACCTTCTCAGTCTTCTTCAGTGTCTGCTGACATCATTCCCACGAGCAGTGGAATCCTTTCTCCCTCTTCTACAGGAAGGCAAGCCAAACTATTCTGAACTTGCTTATCAAGTTCTCTAACAATTACTCCTGCATTTACTATCCCTTTCCTTTTACCTTCATTAGGGGAAGAGTTTTTTCAATTCAGTTTAAAAAAAAATTCAGCAGAATCTGTGAGTACCTAATCAGTGCTCACCTATGTGGGAAACTCATGTCATCCCATTTACTGAACACACACTCCTTAATAAAGATTGTTAGCATCAGTCAACCCTTGAGGACTCCAGCATGTGGACTGGCTCAGTCACTTGTCATAAAGCTGGCAGGTGCAAAATGTGCGTGAAACACAGGCTTTCTAATTTCTAAAAAGGGCTTAACTGTCCAGAACTTGATCCTCCAACATTCTCTACTGCCTATACATTCCACACAATCTAAAATATCACCAATAAGATTAGCTTTACTGATATTCTAATTTTGTTATTAATTTTCTTACATATCTACAAAGAAACAAAAGGAAGTTCTATTAATATGAAATAGATTTCATTGAGTAATGTACATATTTTAAATCTTTTTATAGATTCCTAATCATTACTATTCTTGGAAAATGTTCTTTCCTTAAAGTTTGTTCCTCATCATTCCTATATCTCCTTGAGTCTCTCTCAGAACTTTTCTCTTTTCCACACTGAGCAAATTCAATTAGCGCATTTGAATCTATTTTCTATTTTTTTTCCTGCCTTTTGGGTTACACCCTGCGATACACAGGGGTTACCCCTGACTCGTGAACTTAGGAATTACTCCTGGCAGTGCTCAGGGGACCATATGGGATGCTGGAAATAGCATGCAAGGCAAACGCCGTACCTGCTGTGCTATCGCTCCAGCCCCGATATTAATCTATTTTCTAAAGTCTTTCATTCTAGCCTCCTGAAACTCTATGATTTGAAATAGAAAAGTATTTCAAATTCATGTGGCTCTATTATTAAGATGCATGATGGCCTCTAGTCCTCCAAGAAACAACATTCACTTTCCATAATGTGCCTTTTGAAAAAACACACACAGTTACCAATGAGATTATCAATTCCTAACTGAAAACACATTGCCATGGCACAGATATATTAAGTCGAAATGCGCTAATATAATATAAAATAAAAACTCACACTGAGTCCACAAGTTTCCTGACCAGTGCAATTATATTCATTCTTCTTGCTCTTTCTCCCTGCTTCTCAGCCTTTGGTTCTATTCTTGTGTATGCTGTTTCTGGGGAAGAAGAATGTGTAGGAATTTCTTCCTTCCCAACAATGAACCTAAAGGAAAGAACATATTGTGAGCCATTGCTCACCTTAAAAAAATATAGTGAGAAAAACCTTTTTTATTATATAGGAACGAATATCTGAGTATCTTTTAATGTTTTTCACAATTTATATAAAATTCAACCACTACCCTTTTAAAAACTAAGCTTTTGAAATCTGAATCCTCAGAGGCATTAATGGTTGTTTGACAATGACTGTGTTTTAAAAATCAAATTAAAACCCAGAGGCTTTTGGCAGAAATGCGTCTCTGCCAAATGTGAAGAGACATGTGGGGCCTCACGGGATGAGGGTGGAGCTGGCCCTTTCCTCCCCACCCCAATGAGACCCCTTCCCCACTCCAATGAGACCCCCTCCCCACCCCAATGAGACCCCGAATTGCAGCCCATGAACGGCCTCTCTGGCTCCTAATCAAGCTGCTTAACGGCCATGATCCAACAAACTCAGAAACAAATCTTGGAACCGGGCGGCCTGAAATGTGTCCGGTCCCCGCAGTAGGTTACCGGTGCCAGGCCACCCCGGGGAGAAAGGGTTCTGTCCTTCTGCCTGCTCCCCCTTGGTGGCTCGGTGGCTGCCATCCTCCAGAGGCCATTAGACAGTCAGGTTTGAGCCCCAGTGATGAGACACGTGGGGTCTCATGGGATGGGAATGGAACTGACCCTTTCCTCCCCGCCCCAACAAGATCCTGGGTCATCGTCTATGAATGGCCTCTCTGGCTCCTGATCAAGCTGCTTAACAGCCATGATCGCAGAGACTCAGGAACAAATCTTGGAACCCAGCAGGTTTTGGCAGAAATTCCTCCAGATTTAATTGTTAAAATTTTGGAATTCCAAAACTGCATGGCCACTACTGCAGCTTTGCGACATCATATATTATTTGTAATCAGCAATAGAAAACAAATTGTCTACAGTTGCCTTTTTGGCAGATCTGAGTAAAATCCCAAATTATAATACTGGGTCTGGTGTCAAAATACTGAATGTAATCAAAGTATAGAGAGAGTAATGTGGAAATCATCTGCCCCACTGTAGGGGGAGGGTGTGGGATGGGGGGGTATACTGGGGTTTTTGGTGGTGGAGAATGGGCACTGGTGAAGGGATGGGTGTTTCATCACTGTATGACCGAGACTTAAACCCGAAAGCTTTGTAACTGCTCTCATGGTGATTTAATAAATGAATTTATACAGAAGAAAAAAAATAAAAAGGTGGAATTCATGCCCAATTCAATCACCCTAATCAATGGCTGAATAATTAGCAATACTCCTACATTAAAATAAAAAATAAATAAATATAAAAATCAAATTCATCAGGTAAAATAGAGGGAAGCACTTTTATTAGTCCCCTTTTAACTCAGGCCACCACTTCATTTATTTAATACTTACCTTAAAGTTTTTTTTATATTAAAAAACTACTAACAGGTATCTACTAATATATGATAAAAACCTATATGTTTTAAGTTCACTGGTAGTAACAATGGAATGTTTCTGGGTTGCAATTGAGTAAAACAGAGCAAAATAAAGGGAGCTAAAGAAGGAAAATCAGAAATGCTCAAGAGTTTACATACTCACATTATATCTTTAGAAAATCTTAAATCTGATGTTACCCCTAATCTCCTTCTTTCTCGTGGAAAAAAGCCAATGTCCAAGAAAAGTCATTGTTCTTATCTCATGAAAACTGGGTTTTATTTTTCCAAAGATGATGCAACTCATACAGTACCTTTACTGTGTGAGTCATTGTCCTTATAAAGATTAACTTTCCTAAGAGAACTCCACCTGCTAAATTTACACAAAACATCATACAACGGAGATAAAACAAGGGATCAATAATACTACACCAAATTCTAAAATATGGGACCTTCGACAATAAGACAATTTAAGGATTTGCAATAAAGAGAAAGAAAAAACTACTGCTCATCAACAACTGCAACACATTTCATTCCACCAATTTGGTATATCTAGTTTCTCAACTTGTTAAGGAGCATGCAAGGAGATTTGTCACCACCTGGCAGCTGTGCGTCCTTGGTGACTACTGTTGGCCCCAGGGAATGTGGTAGTTCACTGTGGATATGCCAGGCATATTTACAGTCTGATTTCTGCTCCTTACAGCAGCAGAAACAACAGGATGAAAGGAGGGTAGAACTGTTACAGTGACATCTCCCATTACTGTTCATAAAACTGCTACAGATCTGACCATCTCAGTTAGAGAATGACTTCCTGGAGAAGCTGCTGCCTGGCCCCAGGCCCCAGAGTCAGCAGTCCTTTCTTCCTAGCTGTTCACAGTCTTCTGAGAGCCCTCAGCACGGACACCTTTGCTCAAGTGACCCATGGAACTGGAGTTCGTAACAGTGAGAACCACTTCTTTGCCATTATACTCACTTCCTGCCAGACAGCCTGGTATACACTGTTTAATACATCAAGAATGAATATAATAACAAGTAGCATTTACCATAGGAGACGAAAGCTGTTTTAAAAACAACAACAACAACAAAACAAATATTAAAGCATTTAACCTTCCTGGCTACACTATGAAGTAGCTACCATAATTTCCATGAAAATTAACATGGAAAAGCATCTGTCCATAGCGAATGGTGTCAGTAATTATTTAAACCCAGAACTAATTCTAAAGTCTGGGAGAACCCAGACCTTAATTTAAGAAATCAAATTACCAAGTTATGTTGTAGATATCTCTCTCTTTCATTCTGGGGTGTGTGTGTGTGTGTGTGTGTGTGTATGTTTGTGTGTGTGTGTGTCTGTCTGTCTGTCTGTCTCTTTCTCATTAAATTCATCATTGCTTGGGAACTTCCAATTGTGTTATGGCTTATGGTATCGATATACAAAATTAGTATACCCTACCCCTAAAGTGCTCAAGACCCTCCACCACTATCTCCTTTGCTCTTTCCCACACCCTATTACTTGGATAACTGGTTCTGTATTCTAGTGCTAAAGTTTTATCACTGTTCATTCAGCGCTGTTTATGTTGAATTGCCAGCACCTCATCAGGTATCCTGAGCAAAGAACAGGAACAGTACCTGAGCACTGCCAGATGTGGCCTCCAAACCAAGACATCTTATAGTAAAACAGACATATAAGTCTCTCTTTAGATTGAAGTTTACTCTTATTTTTCTCTGCTGTGTTTGCACTAAATACAATGCTGGTAATCTTCACTAAGCACCTATCATATGTGCATTGGAAAATAAAATACACAATATTTATGACATAACCGGGAAAAGCAGTAGATTTGGGTACATATATAGCCACTGTGAAATACTAAATTAAATTACGCAAACATTCTAAGGCCTGATTTCTCTGTCATGTCACATGAAAATAAAAATACTCATTGTACAGAATTGTTAAGAAACGTCATTTTCAAAGGTATTTGGAAATGCTTGGTGTAAAGTATGATATAAATACAGCAGTAACGCTAACCAACTTTCTACAGTGTCTACCATGTGCCAATCACTAGTAAGATAGAACAAAAATAAGATTCCGGTGACTTTAAGTTAGAAGCATCCAATATCACGTATTTCCTTGTGCAATAGAACTGTGCTGAAGAAGTCCATATCCTGATACTACAATTAACTATGTGACTGTTCACGTACAACTTTTTCTGATCTCCTTGGAGAATTATTACAATTCTTTTGATATATGCATGGTAGGAGGCGCACAATGAGCTCCCCAAAATAGCTGTGAACTGATTTTCAGAAATAAAAATGTAATAATGACTCTTTTTTAATGAAATACCCCAAATTCTGTGGCTCTGAAAGTTACTTTTACCTTAAAAATGGAGTCAACAATCATTTATTGTAATTATGTATAAGTTTTTTGAAAATTTTCAAATCCTCTAGTAACATGAAAATAAGTTTTTTACTCACCTAAGTGCAGAAAATGTAAATCCTTTCAAACCATCTTTGCACCTACAATAAACAAAATTTATGTTAAAAATATTTGGAAATATAAAGTAATATGTTAGAAAGAGAGCATTTTTCCAAAAATGTTTTTCAAAAGATGGAATTATTTTAGGACAATAATCAGCCAAAAACAGTAACAACAAGTCTCACAATGGAGACATTACTGGGCCCGCTCGAGCAAATTGATGAACAACAAACGGGAGGACAGTGACAGGAAGAGTGAATCAGAATATTACAAATGGTTAAACAGGCAAGAAACAATGGCGTCACCTTACACAAAATGATTAAAATGACAATATTCCTATGTCGTATTCACATAATTCTTAAGGGTTCCATGTGGGCTGAAATGAAGGCTGGGATAAAATGGTTTTCATTCTACCAAGCCCAGGAAGCACTTTGCTGTGGAGAAAGGGCTACTTAATACACCTGCTGGGTATTATGTACAGGTCAGCTCGAGGCCCGACTTTCCCCTTCTTAGTGGCGCCCCTTATTAACTCTGCAGTGAATGCACAGGTCGAGGCCCGACTTTCCCCTTCATAGTGGCGCCCCTTATTAACTCTGCAGTGAATGCACAGGAATGCAGAATTGGCAGGAACAGCATGCTTAGCTGGCGCTTTAACTTCTGGGTAAGTCAAATCAGATGGAGTAACAGAGCAAGGGGGACAGGATGGGTGGGAAAGGGGGAAAGCATAGACAAAGCATTTCAAATATTATTTGGGGACCTTTATATGTGCAATTATGCTTACTCATATTGTAGCTCTATGAACAGGTATTTCTATATTTTACAAAGATGTGCGACTGTGCATGCATGCACGCACACACCTTCCCAGAGTATACAGCAGAAAATACTTCATCTAATATGAAAGTCATCGTTTTCTTTTAAGTCTCCTCCTAAAACACTACATTCCTTTTAACTGAAGAAGGATCGAGAAATTAATCAATTAAGAATCAAAGAATCAAGGCAATCAAAAAGAAAAAAGATTCTTAGACCTGCTGAAAAAATAAAGATTTTTAAACTGGAACACTGCTGTACTAGTCTTACTGACCTATATTATAATTATGATCACCTTGCTAAAGAATCCTGGATTATCTATAATCAAATTCCTTAGAGCAAGCTACAAATACTAGCACACAACTCTGCTAATGTGCGTGAGTGACATTAGATACTCCTGGATTAAAACGACTGCCTCTCTGCCCCCGCACCATGAGTGGGAGACCCGTATTAGCCATTAACCTTGTTCAATCCCTGGTACCACACATGGTCCCCAAACCTGCCAGGAGTGATCCCTGAGCACAGAGCCAGTAGCAAGCCCTAAGGACGACTGGGTATGGTCCCCAAACCAAAAAATAAATAAGTTACAAAATAAAAATACTACCCCAAATATAACTGGAAAATTCTTCTTGAGTCTTTTATATTAACAGTTACAAAGGAAAAGCACAACATATAAGAAGCTATAAAAATATAAATATAAAAATGTAAATAAAATCAGAAACCTCATAATTTTAAACATATACACTTTTATTGGAGGATACATTTTACAAAACCCATAGATTTCATTCATGTGCACAAATCTTTCTAAAAGATTTAAAAATTCATTTCTTAAGCAACATAATCAACTTTGTGGACAAATTAACAGTAAAAAATGTAACCATAAAGTTTAGTAACATGCTACATCCCACACAAAATGAGACTAAATGCAAAATAAATCATGCTAACTTTAAAATGTGAACAGAAAAATTTCAATTAAAATTCTTAAACTTGTATTTTCCATCTGAAGTATTTCTCAGTAATTTGAAACCCGGAACTGTGCATTGCTAGAACAGTGGAGTAGTGAAGAGACAGACTGGGAGCCAATTGGCTAGAAAACAGAAAACAGCAGGTGGATTAAAAGATTATATACCTCTGGCAACGCATTTTTGATCCCTGGTATGTTGCTGATTAAACACAGCTATTTATATCTGTGTAAAGCGGAATAAAGATTTTGGTTTTTGCTTTTGTTGCTTTTTCAGCTTTCAGGCTAAGGGTCGAACCTGGGCATCCACAAGCAGAGTATGCACTCAACCCACTGAACTATCTCTCTGGCCCTGAATAGGGGATTTTGACAACTTGGATCAGTCACAAATGAATACCTGTACCTTAAACAATAAGTTTAATTGCAGACTAAATATGCAAAGGTAGTTTTTCATATAAGAGGACATAAATGCAATCTGCAATTTCATTATGAGAGGAGTTTGGGTCTTTCAGCAAACTTCAAAAGTACAAAAAGTAATAAACTATTGCCATAAAAAGAATCTTCAAAAATCACTATTGCATCATATTTGGATACTAAGGCCACTGTCTCAGCATTACCTAATTATGTATACTATTGTAATATCTGTGTTCAATAGAAAAGGTCTGATATCAAACAAAGATCTACACAAGGCAGATTTCTTATAAGGTGCCTCACTATTATCTGGACTTGGTTATTATACTGTTAACAAAATCACATTCCTCATTCATGTGCTAATCAAGCCTACTACTGATCAATTAACTATAATTGAATGCCTACCATGTGTAAGCACTAGTGTAGGGTCTAAGGGTTTTACAATGCACAATCCTTTCATACAGCTGACATTTCATAAAGTTCAACAAAGATCATTTGAAAAAGTAAAAATGTCATAAGAGATAGCTGCTTTTCATGTTTTTTCCTTGACAAAAAACAAAACTGGTTAAAAAAAAGAAGTCATACAATTAGGCCTTGTTATTTTATATTTTACATTATTATTTACATTATGGTCAAGAAGAGCCACTATAATGTGATATTTTTGATGATATCCTGACGTAACAGTGGCAAAATTTCACGAGTCTGAGGGACTCAAAAGAAAAAGAATTTATAAATTATTATACTTTTAGTTAAGAAATGAAAGCAAACCCACATGCAAAAGAACAAAAGCAACTGGTGCTGGCGCAGATATGGGGAGAAAGGGACTCTCTTTCACTGCTGTTGGGAATGCCAACTGGTTCAGCCCCTTTGGAAAACAGTATGGACGCTTCTCAAAAAATTAGAAATTGAGCTCCCATTTGACCCAGCAATACCACTGCTGGGAATATATCCAGGAGATGCAAAAAAGTATAGTAGAAATGACATCTGCACTTTTATGTTCACTGCAGCACTCTTTATAATAGCCAGAGCCTGGAAAAAAACCCGAGGATTCGAGAACTGATGACTGATTAAAGAAACTCTGGTAAATCTACACAATGGAATACTATGCAGCTGTTAGAAAAGATGAAGTCATGAAATTTGCATACAAGTGAATCTACATGGAAAGTATCATGTTAAGTGAAATGAGTCAGAAAGAGAGGGACAGACATAGAAATATTGTACTCATTTGTGGAATATAAAGTAACAGAATGGGAGACTAACACCCAAGAATAGTAGAGATAAGTACCAGGAGGATTATTCCACAGCTTCAGAAGCCGGCCTCACATGCTGGGGAAAAAGGCAGCTCAGATAGAGAAGGGACCACCAAGTAATGGTGCTAGCAGGGCCCACTCGGGATGGGAGATGCGTGCTGAAAGTAGACTATAGACAAAACGTGATGGCCACTTAATACCTCTATTGCAAACAACAACACCCAAAAGGAGAGCGAGAGCAAAAGGGAATGCCCGGCCAAAGAGGCGGGGTTGGGTGTAGGGATGCTGGGACCATTGGTGGTGGAAAATGGGCACTGGTGGAAGGATGGGTACTTGATCATTATACGACTGAAACACAAGCACTAGAGTCTGTAAGTCTGTAACTGTACCTCACGGTGATTCACTAGTAAAAAAACAACTGAAAAAATGGTGCCTATTATAAATAAAAGACAAAATCTAAAATGAAAAAAAGAAATAAAAGCATAAAATTTACATTTACTGAAGTGAGCAAAGACTTTCAAACAAAGAAAAAGTTGGAGGAGAAAAATCTAAAGTATTTTTTAGAACACATTAAGTTTGAGATGAATATTAGCTAATTAAATGAAAGTATTAAAAAACAAGCAGCCAATTTGGGTTTAAATAAGAGGTGTGATTTCTTAATAAGCAGTAATTCAATACAAGGGTACTGACAGTCATCTAGGAAATAAAGGTAGATCATAATTTATAGAGCAGAAAATATCTTCTACAGAAGAAAAAAATTCATTTCCCCATTTAATAAATAATTTTTCTATGAAATGTGGTCTGTGCAAATGACAATGACTAGTAGAGCTCAACTGAAAATTATGAAGCTTCTACATCTGTAAAGTTGTGTGATAAAGTATGACAAGAAATAAAGCCACAGGCAATAAAAGGAGCATGTAAAAATTATCAGTAGTATTATATCAAATAACTTATTTGAAATAAAAGAAATTACAGAGCCTCTATACTGGAATTATTTGGAGAGTATTACAAGTTCAGTATACTATTAAAATATTACTGTTCACAAATGACAATGAGTACAATCTCAGAAAGACCTTTTGTGCCCTTAACAGGAAGTATAAATGATAGTAAAAACACTTTTCCCACAAAGATCATGTGTCACCTGCTTAATTCCCATGAAATTATGTCCTTAGAACACTTGCATTTTTATTACAGTATTTGTCCAGTAGATGTCACTAGTAAACCATTTTTGAAGAATCTGTAATTCTTTGATATTTGTTTAATATTCTGTTGAATTTTTTTCCTTAAAAAAATATTCACAGGCATTAATAATGTTCCTTAACCAAACTGCATTATGTTGCTCTGTCACTGTCACTGTCCTCCCATTGTTCATTGATTTGCTCAAGCGGGTCCAGTAACATCTCCCTTGTGACAATTGTTACTGTGTTTGGCATATCGAGTACGTCACGGGGAGCTTGCCAGGCTCTGCCTGTGGGCGAGATACTCTCGGTAGCTTGCCGGGCTCTCCGAGAGGGGCGGAGGAATCGAACTCGGGTCGGCCATGTTGGCTGCTTGCAAGGCAAATGCCCTACCGCTGTGCTATCACTCCAGCCCAATGCTGCTCTAAGTAAAT